TATTAATTTCTAATATTAATCATTCAATTATTGTTGTTTCACGTGAAGAAGGTTTTGATATATATATTTGTCAAAAATGTAATATGAATGAATTTGAAGCTCAAACTACAAATAATAATAATAATAATAATAATAATAATATTCATCATAGAAATAGATCACGTCAAAATAGATCAAGTGGAAACAAAGATTTTTCAGGAAATGTCGAACAACAACCATTACATCATCGATCACATTCAAGACCACGTAATGCTGTGCCATTACATCGTCGATCAAATTCAAGAACACATGATGATGAGCCATCGCGCTCGACACAACATGAATCTCGACAACAACGACGATTTAATTATGAACATTATAAACGAATTGGTGTCAATGCTGGTTGTTATTTTCCTACTATTCAATTTAGTATACATCATGATCCATTTCGTTTAACAAATAATAATATACCAAATATTAAAAATCGAATAAAACAAATAGTTGCATTACTTATTGAATTTTTTCTTTCACATCAAATAACTGTTTGTTATGGAAATATCGATTCAAATATTGGATCAAAACCATATTTATTTTTTCAAGAAGAAATACCTCATTTTCCATCACTTATCATGAAATATTCATGGCAAATGCTTTCTAGTGTTGGATATCGGTTACAAATTCAAATAAGTAAAGAAAATTTTATCGAAAAATTACATAAATTAAGTAAAGAAGAACATAATCCTGATGAATTATTTTATCGTGTATGTGTTTATCTTTCAAGGATATTTTCATTAAAACCATTTGTTAACATAAATAAAGAATTAGAACATGCTATAATTCAATCTCAACAAAAGCGAGATGATTGTGCTTATGGTTTAATTAGTAAAATAGATATTGAAGAAATAAATGAAGCATATATACCATCAGTATCATTAACACCAACAACAATTCGAATAAAACCATTAAAATTATGTCGAACAAATCGAGTTCTTCGAGCTACTAAACAATTTGGTTCAGCACTTTATCATTTTGTTCTTGTTGATATTCGGGATGAAAATGGTCGAAATTTACTATCATTTCATTTTCGAGATTTACATTCATTATTACTTGATTATTTGGAAAATGGTTTTATACTAATGAATAATAATCGAAAATATAAATATTTACATCATTCTCAATCACAATTACGGGAAAGACAATTTTGGTTTTATCATCATAATGATTATGATAAAGATCTAAGAAAAAAAAATCTAAGTTTTTCTGAAGCTTATAAATGGATGGGTAACTTCGATAAAGAGAAAAATCCAGCTAAATATGCTGCACGTATGGCACTTTGTTTTACAACTACAAAAGCAACTGTTCAAGTAAGTTATATAATAAACTATATCATCTATCATGTTTTTGTTAGAACATCTATTGTTTTCTTTCATAGGTGCCAAAAAATAATGTCGAACTAGGAAAAGACATCGAGATCACAATCGGTGATAAAACTTTAATATTTACGGATGGTTGTGGTAAAATGTCATTTGAATTGAGAGATAAAGTAAGGATTATTAATAATGAAATTTCTAAGATAGAATTTAACTAAATCTTTTGACATAATTTCATTTTCAAAAGAAATAACTAAAATCTTTTTTTCGTTGATTGTTTATGAACTACCATCGAAATGTTTCTGATACCAAATTAATTATCTATAGAAATTATAATCAGGAACATGAACGTTTTTTATGATCGAAATTACAGACTCCTAGTTGAGAGTGAATATTAGAAATACTTTTCTTTATATATCAACTTTAGAGACATTATATCCTTTCATATTTAATGCTTATCTGTAATGTAAAAATATAATAAAAAGTAAAAAAAATTCAGAAAAAAAGCATATTTTTATCAATTAGTTTGAAAATCGGAGCAATGCAAGTCACTATGATCTGTAACATGATAAGATCTGACGCGATTGTCGATAAACCATGATCGAGAGTTGTAGTATAATATTCTTAGAACAATCTATGTTGACTATTTTCAGTGATGTGTTTATGGTATGAGTAGGAACAGTTTACATATCTGTTTACAGAATATCCTATTCCATTTAGTTATTGTTCTCATTAGGTTTTTCCACTATCTCATAAAGATTTCTCGATAGATAGTTTATATATGCTCATGATCGGAAATCAATAATACACACGCAGTAAGATGTAACAGATGGTTTCATCATACATCTTTGAGAAACATATCACTATTCACAATCATCACTTATGAAATTTCAATAATAAAATAGATCTGTACTGTAATAGTATCATCGTCATAGAAAGATTCCATTCTATGATTAGACACTTTGTTATTATATGTCACCAATTATTTTCAATAATCTCTATGCGAAATAATCAACCGCATTATATCAAGAACATCATAGTGAGATTGACTGCGTAACTATAACTCTATTGCTCCTTTGTAGTTTAGAACTTTTATTTTAGTAGCATGGAATTCTCACTAGTTACTTAGAGATATTTCATGAATGATTCGAGGCTTCCTGTAGAGTAGGGGTCGACCAACTTTCAGTTTAAAGTTCAGATCCAACGAGCGAAAGAACTGTCGAAACAGATCAGATAAAATGACAAGATCAGTTTAGATCAAAGAACGTTTTCAACAGCTTCTCAGATTCGAACTAGAATTGAACTCACCCACCCCTACTGTAGAGCTGTTTTCAATATTGTTAGATATAGTAGTCTATATCATTTCTATGCTACACCCCATCTCACCATGATCTGTATCAGTTCGATTATTGAATAAAAAGACTAAAAATACCATATTTTCACTTTTTTTGTTCATCCCTCCTTTCTTTGCAATACGTAAATGTATGGATGTTACGGAATAATCAGTATTTCATTCTTATCTTTCATATTCTAAAGACAAATCCTATTATAAGGCTTTGAACGATTGAACAAGATTCGTTACAGTTTAATGCGATATTACAAACAATTAAACTAACTGGTCTGCAAAAAAAGCAACACCATTATCGGTATCCTTTACATTTAAATATTTTATTGCTAAATTAAATATCTCTCACAGTTATCAAACAAGTATCTATGCTATTCTCAAAGTTTCTAAATATATTCCTTTTAAGTTTCATTATATAGATTTGTATCACTTACATATATTTTCGAAGAAAATAGTATGCGCAAGTTTCAAGTCGACGTTTTTTGACTTCCACCTTCCCTTTCCGTTACAGATCTTAGCCACTGAGGATAAAAAGTGTCAGACTTTTTTAAGAGTCCCTTAGCGACGAAAAAAGGCGCTAAACTCCATTAACGACAAGACTTAAACTATTGTAGAGCATTTCAAAGTTTTCCTCGAAATTTGAACGATTGGAATAGATTTGCGAATGTTTTACATATTGCAGCTTTTGATTTTCGCGTAGATAAAAATTTATATTTAAAATGTCCAGGATGATAAATAGTAATGCATTGATGCGCCACATTCATCGTATAGTCAACATAGAAAAGCATGGACTGATCAAGTTATAAGCTTAGAGAATCATCAATACCATCGTTTATTAGTTTATCGAGATATGTAATAGTGCGTTGAGATCTGCTATAGATATGAGGGATAGATACACAAGGCTTATCTGACAGTTAAATCAATGGTTAGAATAATAATAATGTTAAGTAAAGGAAAACACAATATGAAAAAGGAAAATAACGAGCAAATAGCAGCAAACCAAACAAAAAAAAAAAATGGAGCAACAGTAAAAAATAGAACAAATTTCTATTCGAAACGTGGAAATAAATGAGATGAATCGCTTCTCTGGTGATCGGTTATCTTGGACAACAACGATAGTCTGCGAGAATTTTTTTACTTTACGTATTTTGTATTAGTATAATGATGTTAAAGAACACATGTCAGCTTCACATTTCAGCTTCAAAGGAACTGTGTTAACCAAATTTTTTTCTATAATTCGTAGATAAAACAATTACTTCGTATTCGAAATGATTTCAGTGCTGTTCAATTTCGTTATGATGGTGCTAAAGGTGTTGTCAGTATTCATCCAGATATGCCAAAAAATATTCATTTATCCATTCGTCATAGTATGAAAAAATTCAATAGTGATCATGATTATTTTGAAGTATGTAAACTCTCAGCACCTCGACCAATATATCTTAATCGACAAGCTATTCTTCTTTTATCATATCGACAAATATTTGATTCAGCATTTCTTATACTTCAACAACAAAATCATCTTACACTTATTCGTTCTCTTTTACGAAATTCTGATGCAGAAAAATTAATTCTTGAAAAAGTACCATCATGGTTTTTACCTAAAGATATACATGATGCAAATATTGATTTTATTCATGAACCATTTTTTCGACAATTACTTATTAATTCATGTTTACAATCAACAAAAGATTTACTTCAACGAACTCGTATTCAAGTTCCATCAAATAAAGGTCGAAATATGTTGGGAATTGTTGATGAATATAATGTTC